TAATGCCTAATGAGAAAAGTAAAGACACATTGAAATCTCGATCGGAAAAAGATGTGGAAATAATAAAGCACAGTGAGACCTAGCAGTACTTCTAATTCTGTAATATAAGCATCGTTCATGGATATCCCGTGCACCCGCAGAATTTAATTACGCTTCAAAGTCGATTTCAAGCGAAATCGCGGCATCGCCTACCCGCTGAGACGCATGCCAAGCTCTTTAATTCGAGTTTATCGTGAGCCAACGTGACGCAATCACATCATTCTCTATACTCGAAACGCCATCGGCCAACGCCCCCCCATTCTAAGCTGGCACACGCTCATTAACTGGAGACCGATGGCTGCTTCGGTGCGTACGAAAAATTCTGTGAGTCAGAGATTAAGTCAACCCACTACATATCAAGTACTCACCCCCCCCCCACCCCTCTGCTAACAGAGTCAATTCCACCGGCCAAATTGACCGAGGTGGATTAATGGTTTTTTGGGAGGTGCTATCTCTGGATTTTGTATAGCGAAGTTGTAGCAAGAGATTGTATCTAAGATTTTCAGAGAGGATGTGGTCGCGGAAGTTGCGCGGTCACTGTGGTGGAGTGATGGAGAAAGTCGTTTTGACGTATTTTTTTTTAATTTTGCAAAGATTTACAAAGAAAAAAAAAACCATGAAAATATTCAAAATATAGAGCTCTGAAAGTTGTGTCTTTAGAATTGTCATTCAATTCACATTTACTGCCACCCCGCCAGCCTACCGTCCCTGATTGGCAAATTTCGGACCGAGTAATGTGGATAGGAACGGGTGTGCTCGTGGGGATTTTCTCCCGAGCGAAGCGCTTGATTTACAGATAATACCTTGGTGGTATACGGAGGAGTGCGAGCATGGCAACGACAGCCGTAAGTCAAATTCCAAAAATATAACAAGACCCCTCCCTTCTTATTGGAGCTTCGACCGCTCGTCACCATCACCAGCCTTAGGGGAGTACTCCAATACGACCCCCTGATCCACTTCCGACCACCATTCTCGCCATCATGGCTGCTTCTATGAATATTTGATTCTCGACATCTACACATCCTCAACTCGCCCAATCTTCCCTATGAGCAGTGGACGTCAGCGGGCGAAGGGAACCGGATGCAATGCACGCATTGACTCCGAGTGGTCATTGTGTAAGTCGATAACCCCTTCATTTTGGCTAGGGTGTGTCGAAACCACCATTAGCTGTAGACGACGTGTTCATTTTTTTAATTTTTTTCTGATGTTTCAGTTTTCTACCTAACAACAAAAAAATAGGAAGGAATAGGTTCAAGATGACACATTCGAGTGCGAAAGACACAAAAAAAAACGAAAAAATAAAATGAAAAAGATGATTGACAACCAACCAAAACACAATACTGGGAGAGCAAGAAGTTTAAAAAAGGAATGCCGGGTACATTAAGTAAAGATTGCTGCCGCAAAAATTTCCACGTTTTACATTTACGCATCTTCTGAAGACCTTCATAGAAATACAGAGTGCGCAAAAGAGAGCTATCTCTTCCCGGCGCCATTATCATCAAGCTCATCCATCGAACAGCGGTGTCCGTGTTAATGGACAGTTCTGCGCAAATTCCGTCTTAGATGTCCCCTAGTAAAACAGCCACTCTTCATCTGACCTCCAGTCCTCAAAATATGACGTCATATTCCATCGCCGTTGAGCTCAAGAAGGCCTAAAAGAACCCTTCCAGCCTAAAGCTGCTACGAAATTTCTTCAAACGGTGAACTGACGAATTGCTTCCTAGGAACAGTAGCTCTAAACATGCAAAACCCTCCCGACCAGCGTTTCAGATAACGTCGTAAAGGTCCATGATCCGCCGAGGACCAGTTGAGCTCGAACCGTGCACAAGGTTCCCATGGCAAATTCTTGTGATATCCTTGGTGCAGAAAGCTATTATAACGTTTATTGATAGATTGGGATGTGCTCTTTAATACTAAGTTGGGAGCAGTCGGTTTGAGTTAGCAAAGTGTGATTAATGCTGTCTGAAATGTGAAGTGTCTTTTTTTTTCTAGCCACCTCTATAGTTATTGGAGAAGTCGCAAATAATAACGTTTGTGAACAACTTTCAAATCCCTACTCCCCCTAAAGTTTCACTCAACCTTCACGTCATGGTTCCATTCTTTTATTTGTTTTTATTATCGTTGTATTTAATCTCAATTTTCATGTCTTAATGCCTAACGTGAGGCCACACTTTGAAATGCTATTCAACGTGAACTGGTCAATGCCTGGACACGAATGTAGACGACTTGCGTAGAGCGTGCAGGGTGTAGTTCACTAGGACAGAAAGCGAATTTTACGCTTTTCGCACGTGAAACTTTTTTGCTGCAAGAACCCCAGGTCCACCATGATCAGTGGACCTGAGGTTCCCGCAGCAAAAAAAGTTTCGCGTGCGAAAAGCGGAAAATTAGCTTTCTGTCCTAGTGAACCACACCCAACTGTACACTTTGCCATCTCATTTTGAAAGGGTGGTAAAACCGAGGGAGGAGAGGGGAGGGAGAATCGACAATTTTTGGTAAGTTCTTGTTTGCACGGTTAATCAATAATTCCAACAATAAAATTGTCAGATAAAATGTAAAAGTAAAAAAAATGAAACTATGAAAATCATCCCGGTGAAACAGTGAAGCCTCACTTTTCCAATCCCCTGCAAGCATGCTGCCAACTATTGAAATAAATCCACTAATTACGACAGTTTTTCAATAGATCTAACCTCACTAGGAAGTTCACTTACTTTTCCAAATCTTTTTCCTTCCGAGAGTGATTTTTTCCAAACATAGCCTCAAAATATAGACTTGAAACCTGCTAACAATTTCAGATGGCGAGCGCGGAGACAGCACGCATGTTTCCTCAATGAAGATATATTTCCCATACACCCGCAGCAGAGAATCGTGAAGACGGCCTGAGATCCTAGCTTTCATTTTCGCAATAATGACCGCATATTGAAAATATTATGAGTGATAAAGGGTGGGGCTTCCAGCGCTCCGAGAGCCTTTTTTAGACCCTAGCATTCCTCTACTCAGAAGGAATGCAAATGCATTTCAATAAGGCGCGAACCATAAAATGACTTCCGGGGCCAGCCGACAAATAAATCAGTGTTTTGAGAAGGCTTTATCCTTCCGTACGGGACTTATACCAACTGCCTGACTCCGAAGGAATGGAAGCCATGGTTTGCGTGAGCAAGATTCGAGCCGAGATTTGACCCCGGATCGTGTGCGTAGGATGTGCCGCTACTTTTCACTATACCAGCCCAGCCCATATTGAAAATAGTACCCAGAAATACGAGTAAAACACGTGGACAGGATTGCTATTCGCGAACACCTTGCGAGCAAGGCTAAAAGGAAAGACTCGCGTAACATGATCGCACTTGGATGTAGGTCAGGCAACGCTAATTTGCATGACAAACGCTGAAGCGTAAGCAGGGCAAACGGAATGCGAAATTTTGCCCTCAACATGATTTCAGCCCGGGTCCCACAGTCCCATAAAGGCACATGGTGGTTTCTATTCAGCAAAAGTCAGTCGAGCGAGTTGCCGACCCGTCACGGACCCATTGCATGTTCTATGAGGCGCGGCCAAGGGGCAACGCGAGCGTGTTCAAGGAATTAGTGGGCTTAATAAAATGCTGGAAAATCCTGGGATTTGCGGGAGACGTTCGCGACTTGGGTTGGAATAAATTCGTCAAATATCCTCTCCAAAAAGTCCCTAAACTCAATGAAGCGTATTTCTACGTCCTCGGAGATTTCCTTTCTAAAGATCCACCATCGAGATTCCTCTTAGTACACTCCTCCCTCAAAATACTACCAGCCTAACTCTACGGGGAATCCTGAACTTTGGTTCGAACAGGAGCAATGTGTACAATAACTCGAAAGAGTTGCTCCTTCATTTTAAAGAGCGTTTCGATTTTAACAACTTGAGAAGGGGCGTCTTGGAGGGAGAACTCCGGGGCAGGGTCAACCGTGACGTTCGCACATTTTCAAAAATTTCGCGACCCCCAACTTTAGTGCGACCCCCTACCCACCACCATGACACGCAGAAGGCTCCCCTTATACGATCCACCTTCCCCCTTCTCCGACTACCACCCTCACCATCATGGTATTTCTCAACACCGCCCACTTCTCCTCCAAAAAGCGTCCAGTGGGGAGGGGACAGGGGAGGGAGGGTATATTCAAATGAAACGGCAAATATTCTCTACTATTCTCTTCTCCCACCTAACCTACCTCCCAATTACATCCGCAAAATCCCTCAAAAAACCATTCACCCCAACAAACTACTAATTCCCACTCAACCCCTGAATGCGACCCCCTTCACCAAAACCAACCACAAATGCGACCCCCTCGTTCGAATAGTGCGAACGCACGGTTGACCCTGCTCCGGGGCAGGTGCACCGACCCCCTTCTGCAAAAAGTCAGCTTGGCCAGCGTTAGCGTACGTTTGTCTAAACTTTATACTGAAAAAAAACGCTCGCTGAGGTTTTAAAGGCGATGGGTACTCCGCACCAAAATGTCCTCATCACCGACAAACCCATGAAGGTATATAAAAAAATGACGAATGAAAATTCCGAGTAATCCATGAGTTCGTAACGGACAAACAACGTCTCAAATTGGACTCAGAGTCGTTCCAACCGGAAGCAGTCTGGTACTCCAGTGCGGGTGAACGAACTTTAAAAAAAATAGCAAAACTAACCTCGAAACAGTGGAGAAAAGGGCGCCCGGTGACAAATCGCACTGCGGATCGAAGAGGACGAGTTGTGTCAGCAGCGCACTCTCTTTGGGTCCTGACACGAAGTATCGACGTCAGTACGAATGTTCTTGAAAACTTTGCCGACGTCAGCTGATTTTGTCCTGCACGCCGTTTCTTTCTTCAACGGTTTGTTATTGGGTGTGGTCTACTTGCGTCCATTTCTTCACTTTCTGTAAGGCAAACGGGTTTATATTTCGATGTTTCTCCTTCTGATTTTGATGTTTTATAGAGTCGGCAATAGGTAGTGATGTTTCCTCGAATGTGGTTGGTTTTTCATCATTATCTTTTGATCGTCCTTCCTCTAACAGAAATTCTACTTGTCCATAACATTGCATGGGTTTGTGTCCTGTCTTTCAAGAATCTTACCAGATAAGAACTTATCCACAGTGTGCTGTAGTGAGATGAGGTGATGTTGTAGCGTTTTATAATTAGATTTTGCATTCCGCAGAGACCTTCTAAACAAGTTCTGATTTTCTTTGAAGTGAAGCGGAACTGCTCTCACTGGTTTGCCATTGCTCTCATCCTAATCGAAAGCAGATTTCGCCCAGTAACTGCTGCCGCTTATTTTTTGACCACTTCAAATGTTGACTTGTGCGTCAGGAGGTACGGGCCACAACTCTGGAATAACGTATTGATAGCTGGTAGTCAGACTGGTAGAGCCGCTGCCAGCCGCGACTTAGGCACTTTCGCTGCAAATGTATGGGAACTTTATCAGCCCTTTTTAAAACTGCTTCGTCTTCGTATTTGGATGTTGAAGACTGACTAACTTTGAAGGTGGTCGTTTGTGGAAGGAGGAGTCGTGGTTGTAAGGGAAGGCTTTGTTTTAGTGAGCTTTTTCCGACGATTTTGAGGGAAACTAAGGAATGCGTGGAAAGCAGCCCTAGTGGAACTGGTGAGCGGGTAGAGGCAGTATGTTGGACTTTTCCAAGTTGTTTGGCGGGGGTTCCGCAGCACGAAACATTTTTCGCTGCGGGAACCTCAGGTCCACCTCTGATCATCAGTGGACCCGAGGTTCCCGCAGCGAAAAATGTTTCGCGCTGCGAAACGCGAAAAAGTCGCTTTCTGTCCTAGTGAACCACACCCGTTTGGAGCATACGGCCCCAGAGTTTACCCTGCTAGTCTATGTCAATTGGTGGCTGTAGACATGACATCGTGGGGACAGCGGAGACAGCGCCAGCTAATGGGTGTTTTATCAGTTGAAAAAAATATCCAACCATCATAACCTGCAGGATTCATTTAATCAACAATTTTAGCACATTGTGTACCGCCATTGTGGAGTGTCACTTTACTTTTTTATGCTCTTTTCAATTGGATCATCTTAAACTTACCAAAATTGTTATCAGTGATGACACTTTGTTTTGCAGCTCTGGAAATAAGTACGAAAAGTTCAGGAACATTGAAAAATGCCAAGTAAATCAAAGAAAATGTTTTCGCGTGTGAATCGCCACATTGTGGCGCACGCGGTACGCATTGTGTTAAATGAAGCTGTGTCTTGTTCGGTTTCTAGAAAACTTTTTGCGATTTCGTGGCTGAGTTCGTTCTGCTTTGTCCCTAATGTCTAACAGCTATGAGAGTTACCGAAATGCATTGCTAACCCTTTTGTCTATTTTTTCACAGGGTAATTTCTCTATATCAGGCCCGCCATGTTCAACGACGATGACTTGTTCGGTTTTGGAGGAATGCACAGGTGAGTAAACTCACTGCAATGGTTTTTTATGTGATCATGTGACTGCTTCGTTGATAACTTCTATTTCTGCATGACTTTGTTGCTCTGTGATAGTGGACAATTCCGAGAACTGATTTTGAGGTTTAGCCACAGTATGGGGACGCTTTGTCTCGGTAGTATGAGATGCAGTAAAGTTTAATTCTTCGTCTTATTATGGATCAGTCTCATCCCACAGCAACCAGCGGCCCATCCCTTTCACTGCGTATGCTTGAAAGGTCCCGTTATGCTCATTTCCACCTTGCCCACATCGGGTGCTTTATTTCGTGGAGGATCCGAATGAAACCCTAATTCGGGTTCGAAGGTTGGGTTTGTTAGTAAAT